GGTCACCCAGCTGGCTTTGTGCCCAAGGGGTGGGCTAGAACTCATGGTCTCTGTATCTAGCCTGGTGCCTTAACCACTACCCCAGATTGGCTCTCTTCATAATGAACTACCAAGGGAACATATATACTGTATATATATATATATGCAATATGTATATATATAATGAACTACCAAGGGACTATACACACACACACACACACACACACACACACAATATGCAAAGTTCCTCCTCTGGGTGGCTCCTACTTTGCTGAACCCCTTTTTTCTCCTTTGAGAAATATACTCTGTTCCTTCCCCCATATTTTTGTGAACAAATGGCCAGTGTCAGCCTATAATGGGCTCTGGAGACACTTGAAGGCAGTGTCTAAATGTCTCCAATGTCCTTCCGATCCTCTGAAAGACCTAACTTAGTAAGTCCTCTAGGTCTTCCAGAGGACCTAGGCTGGTGGGGGAGAGTGCCAGAGTTATGACTTCTATCTGTAGTTTTTGGCAACAATGACACAGTGAATATATTGTGAGCTGTTCCAAGAGGAAAGGGAGAAAAAGGAAGTCCAGCAGCTCCAATCCCCTGTCCATCACACCTTTGATTACTTTTATGATATAGTCAGAGCTTTGAACACTTCTAGTCCAGGATGACATTTTTCTATCATTTATTTTTAAATTTTTAATTTGCAAAATGCATACAAACAACAGGACACACGCAAAGCCTACCTGAGGTCTCATTCGGGGGTTCCAACGTACATAGTAGTTTACCCACAATTCCAAATGACTTAGACTGGCTACAGGATACAGAACGTGGTTTTTGTAGTTGACGTAAAAAGGGTTACTGAATTCCTCAACCTGGCTATTAATGTAGGACCACAAAGAGACGGTCTTGGTACTTATTTCCTAAAGAAAACAAACAAGGTTATGAAAAAAGCGTACTTGCAAAAAATTATACTGCATTATAACTCAGAGGGTTGGTCTGCTCCCTTTTCCTGGAAGGGTTCATGCAGGCACCAGATGGGCATTTTTAAAGGGCTATTTCAGTTGGGATTCTTGCCCTGAACAAGGGGCTCAAATGAATGGCTTAAATGACCACTCCCAGTTCTGTGATCTAATACACCAATCCTGGAGCTATTTCTACCTCTACTTCTCAGCTGAGGAATCCCCACGGGTCCTTTTCTTAAGCTCTCATTGGAGAAGAGCTCAGAGACAACTCCTTGGATGAGACTGGCTGGCATGGCTGTTACCACCTGAATGCTCTTCCAAATGCCCTGCTCTGCAAAATGGCATGAGAATATTCTCAACTGTTACTTGTGGTTCTTGGGTCAGGAGAAAGCGAGCAAGCGTTATTTTAGAATACTGAGCAACAGTCGTGACTGATTTTTTTTTTAAGTTAACTTTTATTGGGTAATTTATCCATTAAAATTTAGGCACGTTTGGCAAATAATGAACTTGGAGTGGCCGTGATGCTTGTCACAGTGAATGGCACCAGTTGGGGGGGGGGAGGGAAATAACATTGAAAGCGACAAAATCAAATTGGATGTCAGTAAACACCACAATATGGAATCAGTGAAGTGGTACTATAGAAAAAGGTATCCTTATACCTATAACCTAAATATTATGGTTATAATTAAATGGCCACGTTTAACAGGGTTGTTAAAATTCTAAGTCAAACCCAATCTCCACTATAAAGCCATTATTAAATCAAGGTTGCAGAATCAGAATTCCTATCAGCTTCCTCTTGCAATTTTATACTCCTCCAGTGCTATAAAGCATCTGTTTCCACTACAGTTGTCTCTTAAATTGCATTTTCTTTTTCCTTCCTTCCTTCCTTCCTTCCTTCCTTCCTTCCTTCCTTCCTTCCTTCCTTCCTTCCTTCCTTC